GGAGGCCAAGGCGAGTGTATCACCTGACGTCAGGGGTTCAAGACCAACTGGGCCAACATGGCAAAAGCCTGTCTCTACTAAAAATACAAAAATTAGCCAAGCATGGTGGTGTGTGCCTGTAATCCCAGCTACTCAGGAGGCTGAGGCAGGAGAATTGCTCGAACCCAGGAGGCAGAGGTTGCAGTGAGCCGAGATCACGCCACTGCACTCCAGTCTGGGTGACAGAGCGAGACTCCATTCCTACACACACACACACACACACACACACACACACACACCCCAAAGAAAATAAAGATTTCCTGAAGGAAGATAAGTCTTTTCTCACTATCTTCCTACCCTTACCACCAAGGTATTCAATAATTTACTCTAATGTGGCTTCCATCTTCACTTCTCTTCCTAAAGTCATTAATGACTTCTAAAATGCCAAATACATTGAAAGATTGCAGTTCATATCCTTATTTAACCTCTCATCAGCATTTGACATGATCAGAACTGTTTCCTTTGACTATTCCACTAGTTCGCCCGCCACCTGCGCTGTAGCCACTCCTCTTCCTCCACATGTTCTGAGTTCTTTCCTTCTGCCCATTACTTAAACTGTTCTCTAGGACTCTGGCCCTAGTCCTCATCTCTTCCTTCTCTGTGTTTTCTTCTTTAGTGAGCTTAAATTTCTGCAATTCAACTATCCCTAGTGATCTAGCCACACTGCCCTTACCTCTCTTCTTAGATACAGACACCTGTATCCAGATGGTGACTGGCTCTTTCCACTGGCATGAACTTTCCAAAGACACCACTCGCTCGGCAAACATCTTTTCAGCCCATGTTCTTCTTTTTCAGCCCTTCTCCTTCTCGTTGACACTCAAAAGAGATTAGACCAAAGTCTTCAGGGAAAAGCAGATATGAGGAAATCATCTTTTAGGACAGGGAAAATTGAAGCGATTCTGCAGCTATGCGAAGGAAGACGGTAGAGAAGAGCCTGAATTTGGGGGAAATGAGAGGACAGGAACTGAATCCTGACAACCATGAAGCAGACAGGAAGAATGTATTTTCTTCTTAGAGCTATATTTTATATTGTATATGTGACATGTGCTTTAATAAATTCATGCCTACTGTGTGTCACAGCAGCATTGATTTTTAAAAATTTGAATTACTTACATGCAAACCTTTATATTTATTTTGACATCTGCAGTTAGGCAAAAATTGCAATTAGGGCTAATTTGTACAATTAGCTAAATCAAGTGTTCCTTTTCCCTTTTAAAATGTTCCTTATATATTCCATTCCTAATGAGTATGAAGAATCCTTTTAATTCAACTCATACGCAACTAGCATTTTTCAATTAAAACCCTTACTTTTTAAGAAATTCACATTCTGCAGCGACCAGGAGTTACTTGGTTTTTCAGGTCTCCAGCCCATCAGATTTCATTCTTGTGATACTTACTTGCAAAATGTTCCTATGGGATACATTCCATATCTGTGGCCACTATATTGTCTCTCTTTTTAATTTTTTTTTAATTTTAGAGACAGGGCCTCACTCTGTCACCCAGGCTGAAGTGCAAGAGTGCAGTCATGGCCTACTGCAGCCTCCAACTCCTGCACTCAAGCGATCCTCCCACCTCAGCCTCCTGAGTAGCCAGGTCTACAGGCGCATGCCAGCACATCCAGCTCATTTTTTATAGAGACGAGGTTTTGCTATGTTGCCCAAGCTAGTCTTGGACTCGTGGCTGCAAGGGATCCTCCTGCCTCAGCTTCCCAAAGTGCTGGGATTACAGGCTTAAGCCACCACACCTGGCCTGGCATTTTTCCATAGAGTTTCCAAGTCTACTGCAAGTTTATTTAATTAAAGTAAATAAACACACCTGTTTTACTTTTGTGGCGGCGAGAACAAAGCAGCAGGAAACAGGAAGTAGGTAAAGGAGAGATGGTGGAAGTCTGTAGAGGTAAGATTACCAGTTAGGCTCAGTTTCTTAAGAAAGTTACCCATCTAATGCAATAGTATCAAAAAAGTTACCAGCATTAACAAATAACTAACAAAAATACGTCTCTCGTGAGTTCGTCAGAAAGGCTTCCGAGTGGCATGGAAAGATGGCAGATACTGTGTTTGGGGTTTCAGAGATTGGACACGGCATCCTGAGCTGAAGGCTTCTTATGGGGGTGAAGCACTGTCAGCCAAGAGACACTATTTCCTTTCCTCTTTCCTCACCTTTCCTGCCTTAGGTCCTCACTGTTTTAGCTCACTGCACTGATGCCCCCTGCTCGGCTGCACCTAGGGGAGCAGTGCACAAAGTCCGCCATAAATGGGCCAGGTGGACAGGGGCCTAACCTCTGCCTCAGTGGAAGTCCTCAGCTCCAGTGTCTGGCCACTGAAGGTGGGAGGAGCACAGGAAGTGCTTGCCCTCTGGCTTCTCCTCCCACAGAAGCCCTGCCCCTCGCACTTGGACGGTGGAGAGATTAGCTTTCTTTTTCCCTCTGGTTCAGCCCTTTGACTGCTGTGAAAGACCAGGCAGAGGCTGTGGACTTGCTTTTTGTGCTTGACACAAGTGCACAGATAGAAGACAGGGATTCCCGGCTGGGAGGAGGGAGGAGAGCTGAAGATCCCTGCCTGGGCTGGCGGAGCTAAGCAGCCCAAGTGGGAAGCTGAGTGCTTGAAAGAGGATTATGCTCGCACTAGAAATAAGCAGTAAGTGAGCGAATACCATTATGGCTTAGAAAAGAATTAATCCCCCTGGGGTTATGGGGTGAACTAGAAAATATTGCTTAATTCTAGAGTGACACTGTCAGGCTCCGGCTTTGTGTACTATTGTGTGCTGTTTGGAGACCAGAGGTTTAAGTACAAAACCAGAGCTCTAAATGCCTCCTCCCACTCTTGGAAAATACCAACTTCTATTTAGATAGTTGGGGGACATCATTTCCTTCCCTGAACTAGCCTCTCCCCAGGAAAATTTACTCCTAAATTAGATAAGGAGTTGAGATTGGAGAGGCGGAATTTGGTATTTGCAGAAATTGCAGTTTTGAATGATGTTCTCTGAGCGCTGACATTCTGTCTACTGGCAGTGGTTGTCAAGAAAGCTTAGGGTAGGGCATTAAAAAGAAGAAATTGAGAGCTTTTATGAGGCTGAAGAGTCCATATGCATAGAAGTAAATATAAAAACTATATAACTTAACATAGATGGATTTTTTAAAACATTAAACGGGAACCACAGTGGAGGAGCATCGAAGTGCATGGATAAAAATTAGTTAGAAAAAGAAATTTTCATTTCAGTGACTTTTTTATGTGAGCCAAAAATTTCACAATGTTTACAAAGTCAAGACAATGATTCAGGAATACTTCAATTATTGTTGTACATTATTAATGCTGTTGCTGGGCAAGATCTGTGGTTCTCTGGTCAGCAAGTTCTGGCAAGGAAGCCACTGCCACTGGCACAAAGAATTCTGGGATGTCTGACAGTGAAATGGATAGAAGGACCCACATTCCCTCTCTACTTAATGTCCTTTTGTCCAGAAACCGGGTCATGCAAATGAGCTACTTGGTACGTATACAGATCAATATTTGGAAAGGCATTTCTAAGTGTTTTGCATTAGAGGGTCTCTAGACAATATCTTATGGCAACCAGTGAACAAAAAGAATACAAAAGCAAAGTGATAGGAAGGAAGTCAGCTTGACTGAAACCAACCTTGTTCTTTTTGTTTTCCATCAGTCTTGAAATGGAACCTCAAATGAGGACAAGAATAATAATAGGGAGAAATGCTGTGGCCATCTGTTCTGTTCTGAGTGGCTAAGTTCATTAATATATGAATGAGAATTTGGATTTTATTTATGCATCCTAATACTTGGAAAATTCAGAAATATCTTTATTACAGTAAAAAAAAAACCACAAAAATTGGAGATATGTTTTTGCAGAAAAAAATGTATAAATCTGGTTTTTGAATGTTATGGGGAGAGAATTGTGCTTACAGTGTGAAGATTTCTATCATGTTCACTGAGGGGTGTATCTCTTCCCCCAATGAGACGAGGATCCTAATATGACACAGTGGGTGAAAACAGAAGTATTTTTAATTCCCTTAATTCAAGTTGATGTAGTTAATAACTAAAGAATCTTTAAATAAGTAACCTTGAACTACAGCTAACTGTGTAGTGATTTTTATTTTTCATTTGTTACTGGTATGAAGACTCAACATGACATTTCTAGTATTCTCATCAACCATTGCACTGGAAGAAAAAAGATGCAGACATATTATCTCTCTCCTGTAACACAAGTGTAAAGTGATTATTGTTATCTATGTCCTTTTGTGATTTTAGAATTTATAGATTTCGCTATGGAGGAAATAGATGGACAGTGGTCATTGGGACAAAATTAATTCTGACAAAATGCCAAAAAAAGTACATCTTAATGAACTCTTAAAATAGTTTGTCCTCCAGCCTTTCAAACATCTAATTCTAAAAATCCTTTTATTTATCTTTATAAAATTATTTCTGAGTTGGTTTTCATAAGCCAGTATTCACCTGACTTAGAAGCAAATGTTGAAAATCTGAAGTTTCATTACCTGAGTTGCATAATACTTCTATTGTTCTTAAAAATATGCAAGACATTAAAATGAAACATTGAACAGTTGGAAGTATTGTGTATAAAACTAAATGAATTTTCAATCTTTAAGAAAAATGTGCTAGGACTCTTCAAAGAATTGCTTATTTATCTCAAAGTGTTAAAGAATCTTTTCTGATACTACAAGACTAAAAATAGAAGCATAAGAATATGGAGTAAAAGATTAAAGGTATAAGTTGGATAGTGGGGGCTAAGCTGATATTGTTAATGAATAATTATAAGACAGCAGTTTAATAATAAATACATTTGCTGTTGTAAATGAGAGATTGGTACAAAGAATGATGCATTATGACTAGTGAACAAGGCTAAGTAAAGACTTTTATCTTAAAAAATATTAAGTAGGAATTAAGATTATTAATGGATAGAAACTAAATGATCATTTAAAATTATTCTTTCACAAGAAAAGTAAAGAACAAGGATATGGAAAACTAAGCAGTGATGAAGACCTCGAAATAATTGTTGATCAGAAGCAGGTAAGTGAACACTTACATACATTTTCTATTGTTATACTGTATATTTTGATGACTAAAGCCTTTTGAGTGTTCAGCCTTTCTCTGGCAGCTGTATTAGTCTGTCTAACTAAAGCCTGCACAACAAGATTTTGAGAGCAGCTAAGCCTCTCCATATGATGCCTCTGATCCACTGACTTCTGAATGATGCCAACATGCAGGTCCTATATGTAAGAAGGATGGAAATAAAGCTAGAACAAGAGAACTTTTAGAAAACTAAAGGCATCACCTGATGAGTCAAAACAACAATAATAATTTTTTTGGGAAAAAAGACAAACAAGAACAATAAAATATATTATCTTGAAAATGAGAAACACTGCCATTATTCTGTCTTGTAAACAATGAATATAATTTAGAGGGAGAGAGATAAAACTGAGAACTTTAAGACATATATATTGCCCATTTTAATTTTCCAGATTGTCTGCAATATATGTAGAGATGGTTCTGAACACAAAGAGAAGAGGCTATTTAATCATCTGTAGTACCACCTGTAATCTGAGAAACCTCTAGCTTGGATGTTCTATGGGCCCATAAGGTGAAATGAAAACTGCTCAATAGACCATGAACAATGACATACCAGGTAGTGGAAGGTTTCCAGGCCTTGCCACTGAATTAGCACTAGCCCTTAACATCTCTGTTAATTATCCAGGAGACAAGCTAAGTGCACATCTATTAAATGCGTATGTGGCACAGTGTCTGAGAATGTTGCAAAAGGTGCAGAGAGAAATCATTCAAAGGGATCTGAGTAGATTAAGAGATTAGAAAGAAAGCAGTCAGTAATTTACAGAAAGGCACCTGAATTTGCTCAATTTCCTCATCATAGCAATTGCATTCAGAGAGCTGTTGTACGTATTTCCGAAAAAAAGGAAAAATGACCATCAGAAGGTAGCAACCAGGCATAACTGACTTAGAGACTTACTTGTTAGGCTTGAAATAATTGAGGGAACTGAGGTGGTCTTCTGGAAAAACTTGCCAAAACATCTGTCCCCCAAGGCATAGCATGTACTGATTTTACAGTATTCACTCAAACTGCTTCCGAGTTTTTCTTGTCTTATTGTTGCTCTCCTGCTCCTGTGTAAAACGGGGTAGGGAACGTGTGGATTTGGCCTTGTATTTCTGCTTAGTGCCAGGTTGTCAGTTTAGTTAATAAGGTGAGTGGAGCCTTAGCCCATGTGCTCTACTGGGCTATTAACTATCACTTTATGCCAGATTAATTACTTGGGGCATGCAATCTATGTCTCACACTGATCCCACCCATGGACTGGGATTCTAATCAAAGGACTGACCCACCTGGCAAATAAACTAGTACAATACATCTGGGTATATTATGAGAATACAGATATGTGTACATTTCTGTAATAAAATGAAAAATTAGTTAATTTCTTCCTTAATCATATAGAAGTTAAATTCTTTTTTTTTTAATTTTTTATTGGATTTTAGGTTTTGGGGTACATGAGCAGAGCATGCAAGACAGTTCTTATTTTTTTTCTTCTTTACTATCTTCCTACCACAAAGCTTTTCTTTTCTTTCCTCAGTTCTTGCCTGAATCTTTGCGTTTTAACTGAGTTTTGGTGTCAAGAAAACTACAAAGATATATTTTGAAATCCTTGTGGTAAAAAGCCAAAGGAAGCCAGTGTTCTTTTCTTCTCATGATGCCTTTGACAAAATTTATATTGTTGTGGCTAAATGCATTGTACTAACTGTTACAGAATTTTAAAGAAAAAAAAACGAGAAAAAAGAAGAGAACAAAACCTTCCCACTTCTTCAGAAAATAGCACTGTTATTACCTGGATCAAATGAGGGTGGATTCAATTTTCTCAGAGTCACTGTTTGCCTCTGTAGTTAGCATGTTTCTTCCAGTGCCATTGCACAAGTTGGTACCATTTGGCAGTGACTCAGCTTTGCTGAGTTATTCATGTCAAAACATACTTTAAAAGATGAGTAATTATGAATATGAGCTGGCTTTGGTGTTTGCTGTTGGCAGTAAAAGTAGTCCTTTTTTTGAGAGATTTGGTGTTGATGTTATGAGCAAATCCTAGGTTGAAACAATGACAGTGTTGCTATGGCAAAGTAAAATATTTGGGGAAACACTGTCATACGTCTTTGTAAAACCATAAGAAATTATCCCAAAGTTTAAGGGGTCAACAAATTAAGCATATGTGTATGCATGTGTACATTTGTTTTCCAAAACTGAATATTGCTTAATCTCATAGATATGAGTTATACATATATGGAGTGCTGCGATGGGCAGAAGTCTCCTAATTTTTTTAAATCTGTCCTTCTGAAGCTGTCGCTCTATAAATGCTGTGTAAGCTATAAGCCATTTTGTCAGTCATGTGATTTGCAAATCTTGTACTTCCATGGAAAGCCCACAGTCTTGCTTATAGAAGCAAATTAATAACAGAAGCAGTGCCGTGTATGTGGATTTTGTTCTCCCTGGCCGCCTTCACTCAAGGAGGTAAAAGATTATTTCTGTGTTATTTCAACATGGAAAAGAAATGTGTAAGGTTGTATTCTTTAAAGACAATGTTGTGTTTCTCTCTTTGTGAAGTTGTATTGACAACATTTATTTGAGATACGTATAAAAGCATTTCCGCGAACACTTATATAAGTGTTGGTGTCCTATGGTAGTAGCTGCCATATGATACACACACACATACACAGAATCATTTAAATAGTATTACACTGGGGTCAGAATCCATAGTTTCCACCAGAAATCCCCAAGGTTTCAAACTTTAAGCATAGAAAGTAATCAAAGGGAATGTATTGGATTAAAATCTTAATACCTCCAAAAGCCAAACATTTGACATAAAAATAATATAACTGTAATTAGTAAATGCTGTATTTGGCTTTATAAAATAAATATTGAAAGATAAATTTTAAAGATTTATTTTGGCATATCTTTATAACTTATGAAACTATTCCTTCCTTAACGGAGGAGAGGAGGGTCTTGTTTAGGTTTTGTGTACACATACATTTCCTTCTGACGTTACTGAGATTTCAGGTGTGGGACTGGCAGTGGAGGAGGAGATAGAAAAGTGCCTTTACCACTGTTTACAATAGCAAAGACCTGGAACCAACCCAAATGCCCATCGATGATAGACTGGACTGGGAAAATGTGGCACATATACACCATGGAATATTATGCAACAATCAAAAACAACGAATTCATGTCCTTTGTAGGGACATGGATGAATCTGGAGAACATCATTCTCAGCAAACTGACACAAGAACAGAAAATGAAATACTGCATGTTCTCACTCATAGGCGGGTGATGAACAATGAGAACACATGGACACAGGGAGGAGAGCACTACACACTGGGGTCTATTGGGGGGAATAGGGGAGGGACAGCAGAGGGGGGAGCTGGAGAGGGATAGCCTGGGGAGAAATGCCAGATGTGGGTGAAGGGGAGGAAGGCAGCAAATCACACTGTCACATGTGTACCTATGCAACTATCTTGCATGTTCTGCACATGTACCCCAAAACCTAAAATGCAATAAAAAAAAGAAAAAAAAGTGCCTTTACTTAAGCATTAACCACTTTGAGTAAGTTCATTCTATTATAAATTACTGTTTTTATCTAGAGCTGACTTATCTCAAGGTTTATGATAAGCTGGACCCAGATGACATTTTTCCTAAAAATGTTTTCAAATTCCAAGTAGACTTAAAGGAGGTAACAAAGACTAATAAATTTGTAGAATATTTTGATACATGATGGATACAGTCACAGGTTTAAGCACTGTAAAAATGGGTTTGACAGCGTGTTGTGGATTTGCTTGGTTATAGGTCAGAGTTCCAGCTGCACAGTCTTTAGTGCAAGTAGGTGGGGAAATGTCGAATTTCACCCAGTTACAAGGGGAACAAGTGTGTACAGGTTAGCTCAAGCTTTAGCTGCCTCAGCATCCCCAGGAGGGCTTGATACAACATAGATTGATGGGCCCTGCTCCTATGGTGTCTGATTCTGCAGGTCTGAGTTGCGTGTGGCCTGAGAATTTGCATTTCTAAGTATTCAGCTACTGCTGCTGGTTGCAGACCACACTTTGTGAATCACTGGGTCGGAGAAAACTAATGCAGTTCTAAAGGAGGAAAAAATATGTAACTTGTGAAAAATTTAACATTCTTCAACTGGGCATTACCCAGGGATCTAAACACTGGTATTCATCAGCATTTAACATAATAACAAAACAAGAAAACCGTAGTCACTCACAACCAAAGGCAACTTTAAAGAACCAGTTTGTAGTCTGGCTGAATCCACGGGGAACCTGGTCATCTTGAACCTCTCTGAGCTCAGTTTTTCCATTTTCAAATACAAGTTTTCTTGTATTATTTGTAAAACGGTACTCTGCTCTTCCCACCTCCTAGTTTCTCTGAGTTAAAATGTGTAAAAGTGCTCTATAAAGTGTATATCATTTATGTCATTTTGATTAGCTAGACCTCACCACTTTACTCGCAACCTCCCTTTATTCCCAATTTAGCAACCAGGAACTCTGAGATCCAGAAAAGTGAATGAAGTTGCCACGTCCCTGCTTAGGTGCAGAGAGAGCCCTAGAAGCCAGCTCTCCCTCCGGACATCCAGTCCCATGCTCTTTCTATCATCTCACATAGCTCTGTCCCATTGCCCATTCCTGATCATCCTATAAATGGATTCAGAAGCTGTTAGCCTCAGTGCTCTAATTGTATAAAATAACCATCTACCAGGAATTGTCGTAAGTCGTGGATGTTTATTTGTCGAACCCTCACAGGAATAGGCCTCTCCACAAACACTCCTTAACTGGTTACTTCCCTCTTGACCCCTCTGGCTTTGTCAGGAGACACATGCCCTTTAAAGAAAATGTAATTAAACTAGAGCTAAAAGGGAGTTGTGAAAACCGCTTGTCTTTCCTCTCACAACCTCTAGCAGGAGAGGAGACCCTCCACCAGGCGTGAAGAGACAACACACACTCTTCCCAGCTTACAACCCTTT